GGGATTTCTTCTACATATCTGTGCTTCATCTCATTTTCCTTTCTCAGAAAGGGTATCGCAATCTGAAGTTGCACAGAGAGAAACATTGGACTCACTCCGTCATCCTTGATTTCTTCTTTCCCTTCACTAACCTCATAAAATGTAATTATTTTATATCCACATTTGTCTTCAATCCATGTTTTTCACCAGTCTTACTACCAGCCACTCTGCTTCAGTTGACACTAGTAGGTTTCTACTACTAGACTACTAAACTATTGAAACGCTCTTTGAAGTGGTCTTCTCTATCCATTCAATTACTTCTCTTAGGTCGAAGTGTTAAAAAATAAACTAGAAAACAGAGAAACCTTAAGACTTTTTAAGAGCTTTCTTTTTCTTTCAAAATAAAATCCAAAGTCTTTACACATGACTATAGGTTTTCTCACAATGTGAGTGGTGTGATAGTTACATAATTTCATGCAACTTGAAGATACACAAAAGTGTAGGAGTGGTATCCAATCTGTCCATCAGGTCACTGCCTGATGGGGCTCTTTGTGGGCGTGGCTTTCTCGTAAGGAGGGCCCTGAGAACCTCCCTTTCCCAGCTGCCTTCACCACTTTCTTGCTGGCTGAACCTGATTGCTGCCAGAGCCACCCTTGCTGTAGCCACATGATTTTGCACCCACTAACCCGTGATATTCCTACATTCTGGATCATTGCTTATGGCTGCATGACTCTAAAGAAGGACTTGGGGACTAGTTTCAACTTATGGACTTGAATTAGACTGGGCTGGAATGTTTTCTCTATAAATAATTACTTCTTGATATAAAGCTCTTTCTTACACAATATGACTGTCACTGGGTTTGTTTCTCTAGTCAACCAGGCCTAACACATGTGGTTCAAACATAATCATCAGGACTTTGCTTCTCATTCTCTCCTGATCTCTTTACTCAGCTTTGAACTTCACTGACTTTATTCTAAGGTAAATGCTCATCTCCTAGTGTCCATCTCTCTTCACCTTGACCCAGAACTCTAATCCTTTCTATCAGCTCAAATCCTATTTCTCAATAATTATATATATATCTTTAATCACATTCTTTACATATAAACACTCTCTTTTTATTAATATTTAACTTATTTTAGATTTATTAAAATGCTGTTAGCACTTTGGTCTATGGTACCTCAAATAACCTGGGAATATTTTAAGGCTTAAAAACTATATTCCTATACTATTCCCTACCTTCACCAGGTTAACATGCACCCAAATATAGTTTTCACTTACGGTGTTATCTAATAGACAACTGTCAAACCCTAAGAGAGGCCCCATGACATCATGTACATCCCCTGGTAGTGTAGTGGGTTACATGTTGGACTGCAAGCTACAAGGTCAGCAGTTTGAAACCACTAGTCACTCCGTGGAAGAAAGATGAGGCTTTCTACTCCCATAGATTTACAGTCTTGGAAACATACAGGGGCACTTCTAGCCTGTTCTACAGGGTCATTGTGAGTCAGAATTGAATGATGACAGTGAGTTTTCAGTTTTGTTAGACATATAATCATTTTTTAAAGTCTATATTCTCTGGTATATCATAAATTCCATAAAGGAAGAAGCCAAGTCTATTTTATTGCTACATTTTTAACAAATAGTACATACCAGGTCAACAATAGATGCTAAAAATATAAAATAAGTAATAAATAAGGAAATGAATGGCATTTTAAATTCCTACTATGTGTCTATTGTTTTCTTGAGATTAAGCAAAATACTTTCCCTAAATCTGGCTTAGTCCTTGGCATTAACATATTAGAGTTATAACTATGCCCTGTTGTAACTATAACCTGAACCAAAATGTCTTGCTTTGTAACCTACCATAACTTCCCTTCCTTAATTCTTATTATAAAACTATTCTAACATTACCCACCCTCACTTAGAATTCCTAATTATACAATAAAACTACTCACTGCTTTTCAAAAGGCATATTATCTCCCCCTACCTTCTTCCTCAGCAGGCACAATCCTGGATATCTTTTATTGCTCCTGTGAAGATTCTTTTACCAGATTCGCTAATTGTTGAATAACTGTCCCTGAGGAGAAGAAAGTAAAAGTAGGTAGAAATTAGTGGGGGCTGCAACATGGTACCCTTGGTCTTCGATATTGTGAAATAATAAAGAATTTGATGATTAGGAAGAAAGATGACACTGGAGATTCAATTTTCCTCTTTCAGAATTTTGTAGAAATAACTCACATGATTTTTAAAATTGATGTGGACTTTTGGACTAATCCTTTTAATCTAGGATAACAGAAGATTGCCTGAGTATTGGACACTTGCACCGGCTCTCTCTGACATGTCAGATCCTGGGCAACTGAAGGTAGACTAAATTGAATTAACTCCACAGGAGTAAACACTGTCAAGTTCCATAGCACAGACTGGATTTAGGCAAGCATGGGCTTCAAACAGCATCCTAAAATCAGTAGAATTAGCAAAATGATTTGCACATATATTTGATAGGAGGAGGAGGGTAAATGAAAGATGGCAGGTAAGAGTTATGCAATGTGCTTGGCAGTTGATGGTAAAAGTTGCACATGGAAAAAAGGCACATCACATTACATTTCATCAATTTTATGGCCACGTTTTTTATTTCAAAAATTTATTTATTTATTTTAAATCATTTTATAGGTGGCGCTTACAGCTCTTATCACAATTATACATCCATCTACTGTGTCAAGGAATTTTGTAGATATGTTGCTCTCATCATTTTCAAAATATTTTCTTTCTACTTCAGTCCTTGGTACCAGCTCCTCATTCCCCCCACCTCCCTCATGACCCCTACATAAATTATAAATTATTATTATTTTCATCTCTTACATCGGCCGCTGTCTCCCTTCACCCACTCTTCTCTTGTTCATCCCCCTGGGGGGAGATTTATATGTTAATCATTGTGATCAGTTCCCTATTCTCTCCCCACCTTTCCTCTACCTTCCTGGTATCATTACTCTGATTATTGGTTCTGAGGGATATGTCTGTCCTGGATTTCCTGTGTTTCCAGCTCTTATCTGTACCAGTGGACATTCTCTGGTCTAGCTGGATTTGTAAGGTAGAATTGGGGTCATGATAGTGGGGGCAGGGGAAGCATTAAAGAACTGGAGGAAAATTGTATGTTTCATCAGTGCTATAGTGCACTCTGACTGGCTCATCTCCTCTTTGTGACCCCTCTGTGAGGGGATGTCCAGTTTTCTAGATGGACTTTGGGTCTTCACTTCGCCCTCCCCCTCATTCACACTGATATGACTTTTTGTTCTGGGTCTTTGATGCCTGATACCTGATTCCATAGACCCTCCTCATGATCACACAGGCTGGTATGCTTCTTCCATGTGGGCTTTGTTGCTTCTCAGCTAGATGGCCGCTTGTTTATCTTCAAGCCTTTACAACCTCAGTGCTATATCTTTTGATAGCTGGGCACCATCAGTTTTCTTCACCCCATTTGCTTATCCACTCATTTTTTCTTAGTGATTATGTTGGGAAGGTTGGCATCACAGAATGCTAGGTTATTAAAACAAAGTGTTCTTGTGTTGAGGGAGTACTTGAGTAGAGGCCCAATGCCTATCTGCTGCCTTAATACTTAACATATATGTATATGCACATAGATCTATTTCCCTATCATTATATAAAAATATGTTTACATTTGAACATGCCTATATTTAGACCACTATAAATGTCTTTTGACTCCTAGTTCTTTCTTCTATTTCCTTTTACTTTCCTCTTGTCCAACTATCATGTTTGGCCTGCATTCAGGTTTCAGTAATTCCTCTGGGCTACATTGACCTTGATCAAGACCCACCAGGCATCCTATGCCCTCTTTGCCATCGATTTTAGATCATTGTTGTTTCCTTGTCCTTGGGTTGGTGGAAATCCCATATCCTTCCTTCAACTCCCCTTCTCCTGTGTCCCCCAGAACCGTAGGTCCTGTTGTTTTCTCTCTGGATTGTTTATCCCACTTATCTTGTCTAGATAGACATGCAGAGACAATCATAAGCACAAAAACAAGACAAACCAAACTAACAAAAGAAAACAAAAAACAAACCAGCAACAACAAAATCAATGACATAAAAAGAAAAGCATGTAAACGGTTCCAGGTCTGTTTGTTGACCTTTAGGAGTGTTTTCCATTGGAGTCGGATGGGGTGCCATGCCCTGGCCCCATAGTCTATTGGCCACGTTTTTTAAATCCATGAAATAGTGATGTGATTTACAAAAATACTGTCTTAGATTTAATTGAGAGTATCCCCCCCCCCCCACCGTGGTCTATTTAGTAACATGCTTTGAAATCAATGAAATCTTCAACAACAACAAATCCCATTGCCACAGAGCCAATTCTGACTCACAGGGACTCTATAGTGTCGAACTGCTACACGGGTTTCTGAGACTGACTTTTTATGGGGGAAGTTCTTGTCTTTCTCCTGATGAGGAACTAATGATTTCAAACAGCTGACCTTGTGGCTCGCAGTCCAACTCATAACCACGACACTACTAGGGCTCCTACTGATGAAATGCAATATGTACTGATATAGCATGTTATGGATTGAGGAATGTCCCTAAATAGATGTGTTGAAATCCTAACCCTTGTATCTATAAGTAATTCTTTTTAGAAATAAGTTTTTTCTTTTTGTTATCTTAATGAAGTCATACTAGTAGGGTGAATAGTACACCCAATCACTTCTGCATTCTAAAAAGACCAGAATAGACACAGTGAGACACAGGCAGAAGTCAGATGCCACGCAAGGATTGTCTACAGGAAAGGGATTCTTGGGAACTCCCGGGAAATGAATGAAAAAGAACCTTTTCTTACAGCTGTCGTTGGATTTGGACTCCTAATAGCCTGAGCTGTGAGAACAACAAGTACTGTGTGTATGTGTGTTTTAAAGTCACTCATTATTCTATTTTTTGTGAAAGCAACACTCGGTACCCAGGGTATAGGATATGTTTATTGCCAAATTTCATACACATGTGCCCACAGACCACTTTATGTTTGTTTACCTGGATTTCATATTAGGTTACAGCCTGGGAAAATGGAAAACTTTATGTAATTATAACACACCAAAACACCTGCAGACAGCAATAACCTGAAAAATGGCAGTAAGTTCTGCAACAGTCATCCCCACAGAAGGGAGCAGCGAAGACCTGGCATTAAAAGAAAAAGTAATTAGCAAAATAAAGTTTGATAGAAAGAGAGGAAAAAGATAGCACATGTTCTGCAGATATCTAAAAGCACGGTCTTTTTTCTATTTAAAGATAACAGGAATATCTTTGAAATCAGACAGCAGAACTTTGAGCTTTTTATATTCTTTTTTTAATTGTGGGCTTCCTTTTATATAAGTTTATGTTGTGTCACAATATTATTAGCATAGTTGGAAAATGCCAGATGAAACTCCTAACACCTTCTGCATACAAATGTCTTTTCAGGAAATAATGTGGATTATATTTTCTTGACAAGAGTGTATGTCACTGAATTATACATAAAGGAAGAAGACTATCAAACTGGTTGTCCAAAAATGATGAAAATAGCCTCAATAGTGTTATTACTACAGAAAAAGAAAGGAGAGTTCTATGTTTTATATATATATATGTATATATACATATATATACACACACACACATATATATATGCAACCAAGCAAACCAAGAGTTCATCAAAAAGGAACTGCTATATCTCCTTTCTGCACCTTTTCATTATATGCAGTCCAATATTATTTTATAAGTCATCCTTAATCAAAAGTCACTTTCAGTAAGGGATAAGTCTGATAGACAAATGGCTTACTCTAGTGGAGTCTTCAATTTACACTGTATATCTTGTTGTTGGCAATAAATAGCAAAACTTTAAAAAAATATTTACTCTGACATGTAGAACCCTTCGGAATAAGCCAGAGGAATTGCGAGCAGGAGAAAACAAAGTTGTTCTTTTTCTTTAAAACCAGATAAGATTACGCACTGATCACAAGGTGGGAAGGGGACACTTTGCTAGCGCTCCAGCAGGCCAAGATGAAAAGATGGTGTCATGTTTCATTGTCCCCCATAAGTTCCAACAATGTGAAGATAGTGCCGGACTGAACAAGGCTTTGTTCAGTAGTGCATCGGGTGGCTCCGATTTGGAAACAACTCAGTAGCACCTAATAAGTCAACGATGACTGAGGTATAATACATTAATCTGGCCTTGATAGCCATCAATCATTCTTTATGTGATGCATTACAATTCTAGACTCTATACCTGCAGCTATTATCCCATTTTGGAGAGAGTTCTCTGATTCAGGATTAAAGTAGCCTTAAGTCCTTCGTTTGTTGTTCTTGTTGTTGTTAGGTGCCACTGAGTCAGTTCCGACCCACAGCAACACTATGCACAACAGAATGAACCACTGCACAGTCCTGCTTCATCCTTACAATTATTCCGATGCCTGATCTGATTGTTGCCGCCACAGTATCAATCCATCCACCCTATTGAAGGCCTTCCTCTTTTTCACTGCCCTCCCATTTTACCAAACACGATGTCCTTCTCCAGGGACTGGCCCTTCCTGACAATATGTCCGAAGTTTGTAAGCTGAAGTCTTGTCACCTTTTCCTCTAAGGAGCACTAACTCCTTAGAAGGTGTGAACCAAGCTATACCCTTTGTTTGCCTGCAGGTATCTTTAAATGCTACTCAAAAACTTCACTGCTGTGGAGTCAGGTCTGAGCCTGGTAACCCTATAGGGAGCCACCCCTGTTGGTTTCCAAAAGGAGAAAGCCTCATCTTTATCCAAAAAAATTGATAGCGGTTTCCAACTGCAGATCTAGTGGTCAGCTGCTCAGGAAGTAACACCTCCAGGACTCCCTACTGGAGGCTGTGATTTAAGACAGCATCCCTGTTTTCCACGGGGGTATGAGCTGCTGAAAGTGAGCCACCCCTCCATGCAAGGCATTCCTTGGTGTGTGAGAGTCATCTGGGACACAGAAAGAAATTGCAGGAACATTTGGAAGAGCTCATCCAAGACTGGATGCACCAGACTACAGCAAGTAGACCCATAGGAGTCGTATCAAGACCATAAGGTACTTTCTCTTCATCTGGCCTGAGGCTGGGGAACAGTGAGACAGTGTAACAGACAGGCCTGACTTCCTGAATCTTAGAGGCAAAGGCCAAAGGGCCCAAGTGTTTACTCTTAGACTGGGGATAAGAAAGAGACTTGGCTGCAGGCCGAGGAGGTGTGGCTATGAACCAATGACTGTATCCTTACTGTGTGCTGATCCTGATTTGTGGTAACCTATTAACCTACTATATAACTCCCTTAATTATGCGTATCATCTATGGGTTCTGTATGGTCAATGCAATTAATTATCAAATCCAGTATAGAAGAAGAGTGCTGTGGGAGGAACACGGGGTGTCAAAGTCGGTAAGGAAGAAGAGAGAATTGGAGGCATGTCTGACTCCTGCCTCATGGCAATAGGGAAGCCAGAGGAGGTTAGATATGCCCACCTCCATTGCCGTTTTTCACAATGACCACAAGACTCTCTTAGCATGGTCTTTTGTCTCAAGGTGGCTATAGCTGGTCGTGAATTTACTGGCTGTAAAGTCCCTTTGGAAAATGGAAGGAAAGAAGCAATAAACCTAATCACTTCTGAGACTGAACTTAGAAACTGCAACTTCATTTGATTTTTCCTAAGTATTTTTTTTTAGTAAGAGTGGGATCAATTTGGTCTTAGGGCTTCGGTAAAGAAACAATGAGTTGCTGGCCAGTTATTTTGACTAATGGTGACTCAATGTGTCTCAGGGCATAACTGGCTACATGGGTTTCAGTGGCCGACTTCTCAGAGATTGTCACGACTGTCTTCAGGAAGACCTCTGGGTGGACTCAAATCACCAGCGTTTTAGGTCACAGCTGTGTGTGCTCACAGTTTCCACCATTCAGGGACTCCTATCACCAAGATAAAACCCAGTCAAAACCCAATTTCATCAAGTTGACTCCAACTCATATACTATCTCAAGTTTCGGAGGCTTTAAATCTTTACAAGAGCCAATAGCCTCATCATTCTCCCACTGAACAGCTGGAAGGTTGGATCGCACACCTGGCAATAAGCATCCCAGTGTTTACTGGACCGTGCCACTAGGGATTGATGACAAAGATAGAAAGGTTCAACTTTTATAAATTGTCTCTATGCCCAAATTTTCTCATCAAAAGCATGGAATCAAAGAGTCATCTCCCTAAATATTTTGTGAAAGGGGCTACTTTTTATTTGCTTTTGTAACTCTGAAGAAACATTTAAGGAGCCCTGGTAGTGTAGTGAGTTATGTGATGGGCTGCTAAGTCCTCCAGGTCAGCAGTCACAGCCATGGGCCACTACACAGGAGAAAGATGAGCTTTCTGCTCCTGCAGGACCTACAGTCTCTTACCTCCCACGGGTCACTGTGAGTTGCAATAGCTCCGTAGTCATGTGGTTTTAGTAAGTGGCATTTGCTGTAAGTGAAGCCCTGGTTTTTGTTATTGTTGTTGGATTAAAGCATTTATCATGTTCAGTGAAACAAAGAGTATCTAGTACTACCAGGAAACAAAACATTTAAAAACATCATAAAAATTAAGAATGAAAAAAGACCCTACCTTATCAGTAGTTGCCAACAAATGCAGGGTTGTTATGTGGTTTTAGTTTTTCAAATTAAATGCTGTTTTCCATAATAAAATTTCCTTATCTCTGTCAGTGAGAAAAAATACGAAATTTAAAAATTCCAAGTATTTTTGACAATTTATATGTCAAATTTGTTAGCATCATCAAGAAGGTTACATATCAACATTACATTTTACACTTTAATTGTTTGAATTTTTGTAAAAACTTAGAAATAGTTTCACCCCCCCAAAATTTAATATGTATAGCTAGTTTTAATTAGAAGTAAGCAAAATTACATATACTTTCAACCAAAAAATAAGTTCAATAGTAAATATTAATCTACAACATTTGATAAATCAGTATGGAATTCTTGGAGCATTCCTTTTCAAATTTCTACAATAACCAATTTTAGAACTTTTGGAACTTTCCCTTGGCACCTCTGGAAACCAAACTGGTTTCCTATGTGCAGTACCACTTCTACATTTTCAAACCGAATCCACTGACGTCAAGTTGATTCAGACGAATACTGCTCCTACATGGGGTTTCCCAGGTTATAAATATTTATAGGAGCAGGTACCCTCCTCTTTCTCTTGCAGTGTCCGGTGGGTTTAAACCTCCCACCATGCAGTTAGCAGTTCCATACTTATTCAACAGCCACCAGGACTCATTGTTACTGTTCGGTGGCATCTAGTTGGTTAAAATCATAGCCACACTATGCCCAACAGAACGAAACTCTTCCCTGTCCTTCCCCATCCTCACAATTATTCTTGTGTTTGTGCCCATTACTGCAGTCACTGTGTTCCTGGTTTTAGCTGTCCCACCATTTTACCAATCATGCGGTCCTTTTCGGGGACTCTCTTTCTGAAGGCCTCTCTCCTGGATTGAAATCTTGCCTTCCTTGCCTCTATGGAGCATTCTGGCTGTACTTCTTCCAAAGCAGATCTGTTTGCTCCTTTGGCAATCCATTGTACTTTCATTATTCTTCACCAACAGTATAGTTCAAATGCATCAGTTTTTTCTTCCATATTCCTTATTCAATGTCCAGCTTTCACATGCATCTGATGTGATTGAAAATGCCATGGTTTGGTCAGGTGTACCTTAATACTCAAAGTAACATCATTGCTTTTCAACAAGAAGACATCTTGGACAGTATATTTACCCAATAAAATGTGTCATTTGATCTCTTCACTGCTGATACAATGAGAATTGGTTGTGGATGCAAGTAAAATAAAATCTTTGATAACTTCAACCTGTTCTCCATTTGTCATGATGTGACAAATTAGTTTAGGTATGAGGGTTTTGGTTTTCTTTACATTGAGTTGTAACCCATACTGAAGGTTGTAAGTCTTGATCTTCATCAGTGAATTCTTCAAGCACCCCTCACTTTCATCAAGAAAGATGGCATTAGAGGTTAATAGAGGTTAATAAGAGATTAACAAACCTTCCTTCAATCCTGATGCCTCATTACTCTTCATGTAATCCAACCTCTCTGATTATTTATTCAGAATACAGATTGAATAAGTAACAAATATGGCGAGAGTATACAATCCTGAAGCATGCCTTTCATGATTTCAAACCATACAGGATCTCTTTGTTCTGTTCACAACAACTGCTTCTTGTCCATGTACAAGTTCCTTTGAGCACAATGAAATGTTCTGAAGTACCCATTCTTTTCAAAGCTATTCATAGTTGGTTATAATCCACACAGTTGAATGCCTTTGAATAGTCAGTGAAACACAAGTAAATATCTTTCTGGTATTCTCTACTTTCAGCCAAGATCCATCTGAAACCAGCAATGCTATCTCTTGTTCCATATCCTTTTCTGAAACCCGCTTGAATCTCAGACTACTTGCTGTCAAAGTGCTACTGCAACCATTGTTGGATTGTATTCAGAAAAATTTTAATTGCATGTGATATCAGTGATATTATTCTATAATTTGTGCATTCTCTAGAGTCGCCTTTCTTTGGAATGAGCACAAATATAGATCTCTTCCAGTCAGTTGGCCATGTAGCTGTTTCCAGATTTCCTGGAACAGAAAAGTGAGAGTTCCTCATGTTAGATCAGCTTGTTGAAACATTTCAGTTGGTATTCTGTCAACTCCTGGACCCTTATTTTTGGCTAATGCTTTCAGTGCTGTTTGAATTTCATCCTTCAGTACCATTGGTTCTAACTAATATGCTACTTTTGGAAATTGTTGAATAGTTCTGTTTAGTATAGTGACTGTATACACTTCCCTTCTTTTTTTGAGGTTGCTAAAATATTAAATATTTTGATCACAGAATCTTTCAATACTGCAACTTGACACTTGAGTTTTTCTTTCATTCTTTGTGTTTACAGTATGGTAAGTATGAATTTCCTTTTGCTTTTCTAACTCTAGATCTTTGCACATTTCATCATAATATTTTACTTTGTATTCTTTGTTAAGATAAAGGTGTGTTCACATTTATTTGGAAATTCATAGTTTCTAATGGTACTACAACTCTGTAGTTATATATTGTAAGTCTTCCTTCCAAAGCACTGAATGCTAAACATAAATAGTTTAAATCCCCATTCTATCTCTGCTCAGAACTGGATCTCTTTCTATGAACTGTACATCCAAGTCTTCTTGCTCTAAATGATTAACTTTGCAGACTGGGGTGGAGAATTAAAGCATCTAAAACATACTGTTAACCTAACATAAAATCACCAACTTAAACTACCACCACCAACAAAAAGGTGTTAAATAAATCACAAGATACCAAGCAACCCTTTGAAATTTTCTGTTCAGCTATTTGACTTCATCATTTCTTTCATTTGCCTTAGGTACTCTAGGCTTCAAGTTTCAAAGTCTTTTCTAACATCCACTTATGTCTTTTCTTTCTCACCTTTTTAATGAACCTTTGCTTCCTTGATGTACTCTCATGGCTCACCAGGTCTTCTCTCACAAGTGTTCAATGCATCAAATATGTTCTTGAAATTCAGGTGGGAAAGACTCATGGCCTTATTTTGCTCTCATAGACTTGTTTTATTGTTGTGTTTTTCAGCTTCAACCTGAACCTTCATATGAATAATTGATGGTCTGTTCCACAGTTTCATTCTGCCCTGTTTTTAGCAGCTAATATTGAGTTCCTCTATTGTCTCTTCCCAGGTGGCATAATGATTGTGCATTGGGCTAACCACTAACCACAACATCAGCAGTTCAAAAGCTCCAGCTGCCCCACAGAAGAAAGACAGGGTTTCTACTCCCACAAAATTACAGTCTTGCAAACCCACAGGGGCATTCTACCTTTTTCTATGTGGTCACTATTAGTTGGCATTTCGTTGGAAGTGAATTTGGTTCTTTTGTTGTCTCTTCCTACAAATGTAGTCAGATTGATTTCTGTGGATTCCATCTAGGGCATCCCATGTGCACAGTTATGTTTTGTATTGTTGGGGGGAAATGGCTATGAAGAAATCTTTGGACTTTGAAAATTCTATCATGTGTTCTCCAACATCAATTTTTTCACCAAGTTGTATTTTCCAACTATTCTTCCTTTCTCTTTGTTCCAAACATTTACCTTCCAGGCATCAATAATTGTCAATGCATCTTGACTTCATGTTTGATTAATTTCAGACTGAAGATATTGATTGAATTCTTCAATTTCTGCATCACTAGCTTTAGTGCTTAATGGGAAATTTGAATAACAGTTGTATTGACTGGATTTAATGGTAGACCAATAAATACTATCCTATCATTGTATTTCAAGATAAATCTTGACAAGTCCTTCTTGATAATGAATGTGATGTATTCTTTCTTGAATCTTTCATTCCCAATGTAGTAAACCATATTTTTTTCTGATTCAAAATAGCCAGTAGCAGTCCATTTTAACTCACTATCATTTTAATCATTTTAACCTAGATTATTGAACTTTATGCATTCCATCTCATTTTTGACAACTTCCACATTTCTTAGATCCATACTTCATACATTTAAAATTCAAATTATTAGTAGATATTTTCAGCTGTTTCTTTCCTTTTCAATGATGACTCAAATGCTTCATCAGCAAATGGAAGGCCCAGAGGCTTAACTTCTGCAGGCTTGACTCCATCCATGTCAGTATGGTCAGCTCTACTCTGTGCAGGCAGCTCTTTCTCCTTCATATTTTGAGTGCCCTTGGGCCCAAAAATCTCATCTTGTGGCCCTGTCTCTGACAGTAGTCTGCTTCTAGTCATGAGGTTATCGATATCTGACAAAATTTCAATGCTTTCATAAGGTTTTCAGTGGCTAATTCTTTCTTCACAGTCTATTCTTAATCTGGAAGCTCTGCTGAAATCTGTTCATTTTTGGTGACCCTGCTGGCATTTGAAATACCAGTGACATAGCTTCCAGCATCACAGCAACACATAAGCCACCATAGTATGATGAACTGACAGACAAGCAGTGGAAGGCTTCTTAGCTTCCTGGATTCTTTGGGCCAATGTGCCAGCAGATCCATTTCTTACATTGTTACTTAGGAGAGTCAGGTTCTTGGCCAGCACTGCTTCATCTTCTGCCTGTTGTATCTATGACACAGCCCTTATTCAGCAAGTTATTCTTGTGACAGTCAAAAACATAAGCATAACAAATAGGATAATGACATGCACAAATCAACTCGATTGATTCGAACTTGCAATCTTGAGGCATCATTTAGTTGTGGAGACAGCTACTCTTAATCAGAATGTATAGCAGCTACCTTTCACTCCTAGAGAACTTTTTCTTAGAGAACTGACTGAACCTCCAGTACCTTTCAACAGTACTTTCATTGTGCAGTCAGTTTTGATACGTGGATTTGAAGAGTGTTAACATTCTATCGTAATTTTCTTAGTAATTGAAAAGTGCTTTGTGAAATTTGTTCTTGAAAAGAGGAAAGAAATAGATCAGAACTGTCACAAATCTTTCATACCTGATATTGTTGCTCCTCCTCCAATCCAGAGATTGGTGATTAAATTCCACTGTGCCTCTGTCGGAAATTGAGTAGTCATTGAGACTGTTTCTATGCTAAGACTTGAAAGCGAACACACTGAAAAATTGTACCCCATGTATGCTAAAGGAACACCACATTCCCTGGCAATGAAAGAACTAAAATGATACCAGGACACAGTTAAATTTAGAAGCAGAATAAAAATAGTGTCTGGGCTTTCATTCAAGGTCATTCACAGACATGTTCTCAGAGTTCTGTGGGATCCCATTCTATTTGGATTCCATTTCATGTGTTAAGTTTAAAAAAAATCTTTTTTGAAATATTAAGGCTTTTGTAGATGCATAAGAAAGGGATCTAACATTTATTAGATATCTACATTGTTCAAATTAGGATAGATACTTTACTTTGAATCTAACGATAAAATGATAAGAATAATACCCACTGATGTTTCTTTTGACACTTACTAATTCCTTTCAAGTTATAATTTCTTCCCACCAGAAGCTTGGGAGTTTTGCAAAAGAAGAAATCCATTCTTACAAAGGTTAAGTAACTTGTCAAAATTGGTTATCTCTTTTACTAAACTAAAGGATGAGATTGGAACCTCTGTTTAAGGATGAAATTGGAACCTCTGTTTCTTCTTCTCCCAAACTCACATCCTCAATGGAATTTTGGAACAATGGTTTTAAAACCAAACTGTGGATTAATGTCATCATTTGTGATGTGTCAGTAACAGTAATGCTAAACACAGCAGAGGATTGTAATATTAGAATTAGTGCATGCACATAAAATTTTTATAATGCTAGTTCCTGGCACGTGGGAAGCATATGAGAAATATGAATTATTTTTTTAAATTGTGAAAACAATTATATATTGATGGTTTTATTATATTTTGACTTCATTTTACTAAAATTAATCACTGAAAATAATTAAAACCAGTATATAAATGTTTTCTTTTTGCTTTAACTTTCTTATACTTTAAAGTAGCAAAGTTTGACTTAACTATTCAGTTTAATTTTATTTATTATATCTGATATTTTTGACTGTTCATGTGAAATTAAAATATCACAAATAACAATATTTCCAAAGTAACACCCACAAGATTTTAGTATTTGACCCCCAAATCACTTGGAAATTGTCCATCATCTTTGAGAAAATGCAAAATTAGCTAAAAGTATCATGCGTAGATAACTTAATGCTTCTCATGTTTCCCACCACCATGAGATAATATTCAGAGGTCCAGACACCACTCAGGTTCTGAAACTGTTCCTAAATTCCTTTTCTTACATATTCTTTATGGGCTAGGCAAACCATTCCTGAATTCTAGACATCAGCCTGGTTCTTAATTTATTTTCCATTTTCTAGTAGAAACTAGTCGTGAGGCTTTTGGCCTTAAAATGGCTGTTTTCAACAACTGTCTTGATGAAACATCTTTTGAATCTGAAATCATTCTCAGTCAAGGGTACTGACTGAGAATGTACTTTTGCTTCCCAGTGGGGTCGTCTGCTTGCTAATAGTTGGCCACACTGACCGCAGTGTTTTTTGTAACTGACATCATTCAACCTGAACATAGGAGTTCTATTCAAGCTTACAATTAGTGGAAGATCTCGGAAGTGTACTGAAACCTTAGCAAGGCAACCCAGCAAGAGGTAACTCTTAAGAAGACTTTTACTTCCCCCTTTGGTGCTGGGCCAGTTCTGTTAATATTACTTTTTAGTCATGGGTGCATTTCAAAGAGGTCAATGTTTAAATGAGTTATTCTATAAATAACAGTTACCTTTAAAATGAATAGGAAGGTGGGGATTTGTTCTGTTTTACACAGCAATCTTACTTCTCAGCTACTTTCTCCTAAAACATTTTCTACTTTTCTTATAGGCTCCATAATTCTTTGTAATGACCACATGGAGCACACAGAAAATACTGAAAAATAAGGGGGATTTATTAAGGAAGTGAACAGGTTCAATGCAGGGGGCAAAATGCTCAGGCTCTAGTTGTTGAGTCAGACATGTTACAAAATACTTTTAGAGTTGCAAGTAAATGCCCCACAGACATGCCACTCCATTGCCAGCCTCAAGCCCCAGGACCCCAGCTCCACCCACTGGGTAGTGAACCCACCTCCCTGTATAGGCACCCTACTCCACATGCGAGCCTCCTGCCCCAAAGGACTCAGCTTTACATGTTCTGTGGGGTGGGAACGCCACAGTTTTGTCTCCTAGGCTTGTTCTTGGGCCTATGTCCCCTGTTGCTGCTGCTTTGCCATAGCTCAGAGTCAACATTGTCTTTGATCCAGGATATTCAGAAGGATGTTCATCTCAAGGTCTGGAGAACGTGCTGCACTCCTGGCTCTTGCTGGTAGTGAAATCTTCCCTCTTGTTTTTGAGATGGCTCATTTTATATGTGTCAGGATGACAGTCACAATGAATCCTGTTAACAAATACAAGTGAAGATCTTTCCCCACCTTCTCCTATCCATACCTATCAGGAAAAGGTCACCTGATGGGACTTGGAGAGATTATGGCTAAGAGAGCCATACAGGTAATTTGTTACAACAGAGGGTTATAACTGAACTGTAGACACATTAGGGGGGAAATCAATTTACCTTTGAGTCAATTCTGAATTATGGCAACCCGTGAGCACCGAGTAGAACTGCATTCCATAGAATTTTTAAGACTGTTATATTTTAAAATAAAGTTGCCAGGACATTCTTCTGAGATACCTCTGCTGGATTACAAATCATCAACCTTTCAGTTATTATATATCAATACTTTTGGTAACTGTTATTTTTGCAACTACTTTTTCCCATTTTTCTCTTTCTTCATAGTGACCACACAGGATAGGGCAGCACTGCCCCCATGGGTTTCCAAGACTATAACTCTTTATGGAGTAGAAACCCTCCACTTTCTTCCACAGAGCGGCTAGTATTTTTGAACTTCTGACCTTGAAATTAGCAGTCAGTTCATATAATCACTAAGCCACCAAGGCTCCCATAAAGTCATGATGAATCTGAATGCTTTTAATGGCAGTGAGTTTGCTTTTCTGAGCTTTCTCGCTTTCTTAGTTTTCTTAGATAAGTCCATGTGACCGGTTCAGGCCAAAGGAACCACGGACAAGGAGTGGTCTGGGTTAGTGCTGGGCCAGAGGGTTCATGGCCAAAGTAGACCCTGTGGTAAACTGTTTATTTTGCTGCCATAATGACTGGAGACCATTCCAATACTGGCTGCTCTATCCATGAGCCAAGTCTCTGAAGAAACTGATGAAGAGAGGCCTCAACTGATCTGCATTGCATGAAAACGTTAATTGTTGGTTTTTTAAATCTCCTGAGGCTCTTAGATCTATTTATTATAACCAAGTCAATCCTCATTGATGCTAATAACAAATAAAAATGTATGGCGTGATTCACGGAATCCAGGTCAGATAAACCCCCGAGGAACAGAAATGGGAGTAGTGATACCAGGACGGCAGTAGAAAGGTGGGGGGAGAAGGGGAGAAAGGGGGAATGAATCAAAATGATCAACGCATAACCCTTACCCAACCTCAGGGGGATGAACAACAGAAACGTGGGTGAAGGGAGACAGAGGTCGGTTTAAGATATGAAAATAATAATAATTTATAATTTATCAAGGGGTCACGAAGGAAGGGGAGGGAGGGAAAAAAGAGGAGCTGATACTAAAGGTTCAAATAGAAAGTAAATGCTTACAAAATAATGATGACAACACATGTACAAATATGCTTGATACAATTGATGCGTGGATTGTTATAACAGCTGTAAGAACCCCAATTAAACGATCTTTAAAAATAAGTGTGATTATTCAAAAAGCAAACGGAAAAGGTAAGTTGTTTTTGTTTTGTCATTTAAAGTCAGTTTTGTAGTCTTTAGGGAAAGCTTACATTCATTGGCAGTAGGCATCAGCTTTGTTGCATAGGCAGTTAGATGATTTATGAAGTCAATATTTGCGTAGTCACTGAGAGGAAGGCTCTCCCTATGTATGTGTGCAATATCTAAAATATATTTTCATGATAAGTGGCACAGTGGTTAACCAGCTCAGCTGCTAAGTTAAAAGTTGGCAGTTTGAACCTCCCAACTGCTCCACTAGAAAAGTTGTGGCAGTCTGCGTTAATAAAGATTCATATCTTCAAAAAGCTTCCAGGGCAGCTCTGTTCTGCAGCATAGGGTCATCACAAGTCAGAATCAATACGACGGCAATGAGCTTGCATTTGGGTTTATGATTCATAAAATAATTATGTCATAAATCTTACCTTTACTGCCTCATCTTATGAGCAACATGAAGATGAGCTGTTGGTGCACGGACTGGTAACTGAAGAGTTGCTAGTTCTAATCTGCCATCCACTCCACAGGAGGAAGATGCGGCAGTGGGCTTCTATATAAATTTCCAGACTTGAAAACCGCAAGGGGAAGTTCTCTGTCAATATGAGTTGGAATACACTTCATGATAATGTGTAAACATTTTATTTTATATTGTTTTAATTATACAGTGATTATACAAAAACTAATACAATATTCCTTACTTACCAAGATAAACTATAGCGAAGTGTCTTGTGAATCAATTACTATTTATGTCCTCGATATCTTTCATTTGTCATGAAAGTCTGTATCTTTAAAAATTGTTATATTCTCGTCATAAAAAAAAAAGATGTAGCAATTAAAATATTCCTTCTCTGGTAGGGCAGTAAACTATAGTTGTTCTTCTCACTTTAGTTAGGAGTGTGCTTCCCCACAATTTTTCATTTCCTAGAAGAACCACTAACCTGGATGTATATAGGTGCTTCATAAATAGTTTTATGTTTTTAATATATAATACATCTTGAAATTGAATTACACACGTTTAAAATTCATTTTGGAAATCCTTATATATATCTATATATATAGTTTAGTTTACTAATTTCATTTGCTAAACTTTTAAAAAAATTCTGAGCAGGGGAAAAACTGAGTGTTGGCTATTCTCATCTTCCATATTTTAATGTATGCATTCTAATCTTATTTCCTCTCTCCTTTACGTTCTTTAGGTCTAAGTTCACCAGTATGTTTATTCCTTTTTCATAGGTTATCAT